TTTGGATGCTCACCTTCCTAGGCCTGGATAAAGAGGGGAGGGCCTTGGACTTTCCACAGGGCAGGGTACCATGCCCTCTCTTAAGATTGGAGGGGGAGGGAGAGCTAGGGAGTGGAAGGGAAATGGAAGGATGGAAGGAAGTGGAGGTTTTGAATGCTATTATATATAAAGCAAAAAAATAAAGAAAAAAACTGAAAAAAAAGAATTAAAGATACACCCATTCCCACTGTTAGGTGGCCTACAAGACCACCAAGGTAGCAGCTGTAACACACACAGGGAGGACCTGCTGCAGAATCATTGGGCAACATGCTTGTGTCTTCAGTCCCTCTGAGTCCATATTAACCTTGCTTAGTTGATTTAGTAGGCCACGTTCTTTCTTCTGGTGCAGATTCCTTTCTAATTGTGGTGGCAAAAATTTGTAATCACAAAAACTCAGTGGTTATGCCGTAGAGAGAATGATGAAAAACTGAAATTGAGTTTTCCCTGAATATCATATTAGCGTAATATCTCTTTGGTCATCAAAATGTGTGTTAGCATCTGGAGATGGAAGGCTATGAATAGTTATATCACTATTTACTTTAAAATGTTGCAGAAGAACAAAATACATCTTTCCAGAAATCCCTTACAAGCTTATTCCTTGGAATTGGTTAAGCCCACCCATAGCTTTCTTATCAAACTTATTCTCACTATTATAACATCACTGCCCACATCAATATAAACAACCTAGTCTATGCCGACTGTTTTTCTGTCTGATCTCTTTATATCTTCATCAGCACTTAACCCAGACAGAATAATCTTTTCTGCACTTTGTTTCATCATTCAAGCTTGCTCTCCTTCACTGACCACTTTCTTTGGCTTATTTTCTTTCTTCCTACTCCCTCAGACCTTTCCAGAAAGATGCCCCAGTGCCTTGTCTGCTAACGTTTCATTTCTAACAAAGTCATATGACCAGCTGCTCAGATCATAGCTTTGTGCCAGGGCTTCAGTCCATGCTGCCGTTTCGCAGGTGTGTGATCTTGGAGAGAATGTTCCTGTGTCTCTTACATTCACCTTCCTCATCTGCAAATGAGTATAATATTAAGAGAACCTTTCTTGCATGGGTCCGAAGTGGATTTTTTTAATGAATTAATATCTGTTGATAGCATAAAATAGTGTGTGACATGTACAGCATATTGTTTGATAAGTGAATGAATTAAGGCCAATTAGATATTATTCATATAAGAGACTCCATCCTTGAATTGTTAGGACTATGACGCAGTGCCTAGTCAACATTTTTATTACATATTTAAAGATAAAGCACCCTCAGTCTGTAAAAAAAGGGGAGGGGGCTTCCAGTTCACAACCAACCTCATTGTCATCATCAGATTGTCCTTTCTCTGTTTCCTTTCTTTTATTCATTAGACATCTCCTTGGTTCTAGATAGATTTCATTTATTACCTGCTAAATCAGCAATTCCTCAAGAGGAATGTTCCACTCCACATCTGTTTGCCTTCATTGTAATTGACAGGAGATAAATGGTTCTTGACTACCAAAATCCTTTTAATGATTTCCATATTTAGTCAAAAAAAGGCAATGCCCCTATATTCCTCTGAAAAGCACCATTGTCGATTAGACATCATCACCAACAGCCCTCTTTCATTGCTTCTAACCTCAGCGCTCTGATCTGTTTGCTGGCCTCTGTATATCAAAGGTGTTTCACACTGGTGACTGAAAACTCTATTTCCTTTTGGAATTTGTATTCTAAAAATCTTACCTTCCTTGTTTATTCATTTGTGTTGAGAAAATGCCATCTCTAGGACAATCTGTTGGCAAGTTGTGGGACAGATTTTTGATTGATGCTTGATATGGAATGGGTCAATCAACTACTGGCAAACAAACCCTTTTGTTCGTTTGTGTGGATACATGTGACAAGCAGGGCTCGTTTGTGCTCTCTGTTTCAGCCCCTACCTCCAGATCCTGTGCTACCTGAATCCCTGCCTAATTCAGCTTCCCTCAACTATGGATTATATTACGGTATGTAATTCAAATAAATACCTCCCTTCATAAATTGCTTTTGGTCATGGTGTTTTATCCTAACAATAGAAAGCAAACCAAGATACCTGTAAACTCTTCTCAAAGTTACTTTGTTGAGAAATTATTATCTAAATATATGTTCACTGTTTGAAATCTACAATATTATTTCCCCTTCCTTCTGCATTTACAGAATTTTCCTGGCAGTACAGAGACATATTTTTGTAAGGCATTTTCAACAATTTTTAAACCATAAAGTATTTTATTGACAGAAGTACCAGTTTTGTTTATTTTCTTGTGTTTCTTTGAAGCCTGTTTTGGAACTAGCTCTTGTAGACCAGGCTGGCCTCAAACTCATGGAGATCTGCCTGCCTCTGCCTGTCAAGGATGTCATTAAAGGCATGTACCATCACTGCTGGGCTGAGGTTGTGTTTTAATTACGATGTTTATTCATTCCATTTTCTTTCCCAAGTACTCCAATGTGCTCCTTCCCTTTCTCCTTCAAATTGTCCTGTTTTTCATCAACTGTTATTACACGTACATGTCTATTTATAGATACATCTGCATTCCCAACTATAATCTATTAAGTCTATATACTACAGTTCATGTATTGGAATGATTGTCTTTAATAATTTATCCATAGCTTAGAAAATAATCAATGCCACATCTCATAAAAGATTATAATAAAAAACTCTTGAGTAATTTAATCCATTGGCTGTAATTAATGGTTTATTGTCATGAGTTTGGATATTTTCTATAAAATGGTAGAAAATACAAAGAAATCATCCAGGAGAGGTTATTGTTTGCTAGTATGTCACTAACATCTTTAAGACATTCAAATTATGAAAAAAATTTAAATGACAATAATGTAATGGAAGTTCTTAGCAGTGCTGGTGTGGAAAATGTATGAGTGTCTGGATTCAAAATATGCTGCATGCACTTGTAAAAATTTAAAGAATTAAAGAAATAATACCAAGATAGTAGAGATGAAGATATATATAATTTAAATAAAGATTATCTATGCTGTGATTTCATTGTTCAACTCTTTATTTACCTTAAATTTATGGATAATATTAATGAAATACAACCTAATGTTTTAATGCATGTATACCTTACAAAATGAGTAAATAATGTCAGTTTTTCCCATGTAATAATTATTTAAATGTGGTCACGGAGAAAGGTGATTTTTTCCTGTCTAATGGCAGTCTATTATTTGTCAGAAGATTCTGGGACCCCACACTTACAATTTAATGACAGATACAACCAATAAGCCAATTTCCCGATTCTTAGTCCAAATATAAACCACAAATTTGTTTATTTTTTCTTAATATCCATCTTTGTTTTATTATTTCACCTAGTCTTTTGAATGCTGACTAATAAATACATGCTTGTTAGAAAACAGAGAAAGATGCAATATGTACAAGGCTACCAAGAGATTAGTTGAGAATTTTATCAACCTAAGAATGCATAATCATTATCCCATAGAAAAGAAGAGCAGTAGTAAAAACGGCCAATGAACTAGAGTTTATCCTTCTCCGCTCAAACTGGATAGTTATTTGGGTCCCACATGGGCGATTTAATGGCTGAATACCTTATAAAGAGTGTGGGTGTCACCTAAATGAACATAAATGGCATTTTCTTCATTCTGATACTAAAGAAAGGGCTGTATGACTTTCTGAAAGCAAGATCAGAACATTGTAAATTATAAACATGAAATAAATTCCATCAAATATATAAAAATATTTGCCAATAATGATCATTTACCCCACTCTAATAGGTAAGTATTGGCATAAGAAATCATGGCCAAGGGACCTTTGGTATTAAATTAGGGAGTCTGAAACAAAATTTCCTTATATACTGACAAATAGTTTCAAAATTCTCATCAAAAAGGTTCACATTATTTTTCATGATTATCCTTTTACTTTTATATAATTAGGAAATTCAATGAACTTGATTTAAAGGGATACTGGAAAAATTAACAGATTGTTATATTTAAAACATTTCAAATTTGATTAAGGTTTTTACCCTCAGAATAAAGTAAAACTTCTCCTCTGTGTAGGAATTACTCATTTGCATCCACAGACATTTGATTAGAATAATTTTTCAAATATAAACAATTAGTAACAGATCATTTATTTACTAAATGTTATAAGAGAGGAGCAGCTGCCTGAATCACCATCCTTGGAATACTCCTGAGTTAAAGTTTGCTTGTGAAATCTCACTATTTAAAAATATCCTGTCATTCAAACATAAGGATCTATGAGGACTAGGTAGCTTTAAGGTCATTTTCTGTATAATGTCTTGGAAGAAATGTATTCTATCTAACAAATTATTAACATTTCTCTATGGTTTAGATAGGTTTACCAGAAATGTTCTTTGTTACTCATTCAATTTAATTTAGTATGTAGGAGGTCTCTTTTTAATCAACTTTAAAATCATGTTCTGCTGACTTGCAAATCAGGAGGTCAATGCTAATTGAGAGGAGGCATAACAACTCTGACACCTTCTCTCCCTGCACAAAAAGTGCTGCTCTGTGTGTTGTGATACTTGGCTTCTCCATATTGCATTACAGGGTTAAGAAGATGAATGTTCATTGCTTTTAATCCTCACCATGATTTATGAGTCTCTTGATATCCTTTCCCTAGAGCAGATACAACTGTGCAGTTGTTCTGCCTGCTGCTTAAATTACACAGACATCTGCAAAGTAAATTATGGATTGTTGTTCCATAGACCATAACCGAGCATTCTCTTCATCTTGCCTGCAGTATTTTTTTTATTAGAACAAAGAGTCTCTATACTCACTGCTTCTGTACTGAGGGAATGCTAGCTATCCAGAATGATAGAACTATGTCTTGTACAGAGATTTGATATATAATATTAAAGCTGCATAATATATGAGAAGGGCAATTTTAATAATATCAGAAAAGCAAAGACTACATTTTTTATTCCTCTCTTTTATCTTTATTGAAAGGATAGTATCTTAAGGCATGCATAGGACAGTGATATTTAGAAGCAATTGAAATATGTTCCATGGAGTAAAATCCATGCAAATGACCCTTGGTTGGTCAGTCGTGTATATTTTAATGTCACAGTGTGTCCTAGAATACTTAAAATTAAAAAATGAACAAATAAATAGAGAAGAAAATTTGTGTACAGCGGGAGAATCATTGTAGAATGTTCCCCTGCTGATATTTCTCACAGTGAACTTCCTCTAGCAGTTCTGGGAATGTGGACTCTTGGTAAAGAATGGGAGCATCTTTCTTTTGAATAAAAACTCTGACAGAGGTCAGCTTGAAATAATCAGTTGATTCTGTATTCCCTTTTCTTTTCTGTACTAGTTAATGCAGGGGGAGGACAAATCATAAATCCCAATGACAAGATCATTGTAAAATCCTAATAAGGCATGTCTAAAGTTATTAACCTTTGACAATCTCTCTCCATTTATTTTCTTTACTTCTGTTAATTGCAACCCCCAAAAGAATTCTGTCTGAAGAGACTGTACTAACCATTTGCCAGTTGATCTCTATTTGCTCCTTAAAAAATTACATTGAAAATTAAGGTTCTGTGAATTATTTTGTGAGACCCAGTTGTCAGTTCTGCAGGGTTCTGTAGGCATTGAAAGCAGAAATTTTCTTCCAACTCCAGCTGAGCAGGCCTGCTGCTTTCTCTGTCTCCATCAGCTCATGTGTTTCACCTCATCAGGAGCCCAGAGCTGGTGTTTCTTGAGGATCAGGACCTGTCAGTCAAACCAATCCTCTGAAGACTTATTTTTTTCTCTCTAATGATAGTCACCATATCTGGTTATTTCTCTTACTGTCAAGAGTTCATTTTGAAAACATTACTTTCTCCTAATGTTTGTTTCCTCATCATTAAAATACAAAAATATGCTTCAATCTCAAATAATTTTATTTAGGTAAAGTTTCATAAATATAAATATGCCTTCAGAAAAATAGACATCTTAACTACCAAACAAGTACAAGCGATTTCCTTTAAAATGTGTGTGGGATGAACAGAAACAAAATTAAAATGGATCTCTAAAATATCAGAAACCTATATGTAAAACTATACTGCCAAACAATTATCTTAGTAACCTGCTCCCCCCTACTACCCCATATCCACAACCCCATTTAGGCATTTCTTTCTACATCCAAAAAAGGAATAGCAACAACAAAATATTGTCTTCTGCATAACAGAGCATCCAAGCATAACTCCTAAGTCAAATATTCTCATACATAATATCCAATTAATATGATAAATATCTAAATGGTTTAAAATTTAATAGGCAAATTTTTCCTATTTCCCATTTTTATTATGATCTACAATAAATATGGTTGCCTATAAGATGACAATATACATAGCCAAGAACTCCTAGGAACAATTATTTAGTGAGTTTTGAAACATGTTACAGAAGTTAAGATTCCTCCTGTTCTTCAGTAATTATTATAAGAAATAATCGAACTTCAATGGGCTTCAGAACCTTTGATATTTGAAACTAAAATAGTATAAATACAACATTCATACTAATAAAGACTATTTATATACCTATAACTTTATTATTTTTATAAATTATTTCATTATTTGATTTTAAGTAGGTTACTCTCAGTACTGCTTCCATATTTGAATGTTGTGAAAATATTAAGAAAACATTGTCAAAATATTCTCTTTGAATATCTTAAACAGTGGAAAATGCATTCTCATTAATGAGCATTAAATATTTTGATATCTGTATGTTTGTCTTTTATCATGTTTGGCTCAACTTGTTACAAATTCATTTTAAACACAGAATGAAACACAAGACCCTTGATAACATCGCATTTCTCTTCTTTAAATGGGGATAAAAAGACACATTCATATTTTTAATTGAGTCTGTGCATACTGTTCAGTTATAAAACACTTGCCTAGATCTGTGAGACCTTGGGAGAAATCTTTACCACTACAAGTAAATATTACTAGTTAGTTGAGAAGATTTAGCCTTAACAAATTCATTTTATATGATATAAAATATCTAGGTTGAAGTAATCATGAATTTTTAAGAGGAAATCTTGGCAATGACTTTCAAAAGTCAAATTTTCAAAGTCATGACAAGCTACTTCCTAAATAAAAATTTTAAATATTTGTTATAATTATCAACAGAAAAATATATGATCAAAGGAGACAGAGAAACACAAAACACTCCAGTTCATTTAAAACTTCATTTGGAAATTTCATCAGAATACTGCAGAATTTTTACTCAATTGACAGTAGGAACTACTTGATAATATTATAGAACTAGATTGAAGTCCACCATGATTTGAATATGTTTAATCTCACAAATTATTCACTTAAAACAAAGTCATCAGTTTTATACTTATCAAATATAGACATGCATAAAGAATTTTTACAAATACCATAGTAAGATCCCTAAAATGAGTCTAATGCCTTGCCTGCCTAACCTCTTTAACCTTTTTCTTCTGAGATTCTACTGTAATGGTCACTCTTAATTGATCACTGATCAGGAACAGAGAATACCAAGGCTGTTTTGACTGCATCTTAAGAATAGTGTCTATCATTACCAGATAGAAAGTTTCACAGAAGCAGTTTAATTGCTCTGTCCATGAAGGTTAATTGAGAGTTTAAATATCAGGGTGCACATTCCTGTCATCCACCAGGAAAAGCAGCTTGGAGTTGTCAGCAAAAACAGCAACTGAACCTGGCTGAGCCATAATAAAAACAAAAATAATAAATAAGAGAAAGTGTATTACTTCCTGTCTCCTTGTATAAAAACTCCTCCAGATGTTTTTTTTTTCAAATTATATGAACTCTTTAATTAGTGGAGATTTTAAAGAAAGTAAACCTTTAAATAATCTTTGGAGATACAATTCAAAAAAATAAAGAGAAAAAATGTGACAAAATTACAAAGTATTTCAGAAAAGTTACCTAGACGTACTATAGTAGATATGATGGATATCAATTTAAAAGAGGACATTATAAATAATGTTTTCTAAAAATTAACAGATTTCCTGATATGTACAAGTATTACAAAGGCATATATAAATACCTATAGCAATAACAACAATGCACACATATTACATTTAGTGAACAAAGATGCATGTACAGTTTTTTTTTTAAGATTATAAACTGATTGGCCCATTAGGTCAGGCTACTTACTAGCTCTTACAACTTTTGTTACCGCATTATACTTATCTACATTAGCCACACGGCTCAGTACCTTTCTCAGCTGGGCAGGTTACATCCTGTATCTTCGGTGGTCTACGAAGGAGTGGCAGAGGGAGCTTCCTGTTTTTCCAGAATACTCCCAGTATCTTTGCTCCACCTCTACTTCCTGTCTGACTTTCCCGCCTATACTGCCTGCCTGGCCAATCAGCGTTTTATTAAAATATAATTGACAAAATACAGAAATTGAGCAGGATACCAGAAAATGGAAAGACCTCCCCTGCTCCTGGATTGGGGGAATCAACATAGTAAAAATGCCAATTCTACCAAAAGCAATCTATAGATTCAATGCAATCCCCATCAAAATTCCATGAAACTTCTTCACAGACCTTGAGAGAACAATAATCAAGTTTATATGGCAAAATAAAAAACCCACGATAGCCAAAACAATCTTAAACAATAAAGGAACTTCTGGAGGCATTACCATCCCTGACTTCAAACTCTATTACAGAGCTACAGTATTGAAAACAGCTTGGCATTGGCATAAGAACAGAGAAGTCGACCCATGGAATCGAAAAGAAGACCCGGATATTAACCCACAAACCTATGAACACCTAATTTTCGACAAGGGTGCTAAAGGTATACAATGGAAGAAAGAAAGCATCTTTAACAAATGGTGCTGGCATAACTGGATGTCAACCTGTAGAAGAATGAAAGTAGATCCATATCTATCACCATGCACAAAAATCAAGTCCAAATGGATTAAAGACATCAACATTAATCTTTCCACATTGAACCTGATAGAAGAGAAAGTGGGAAGTAGTCTACAAGATATAGGCACAGGAGGCCACTTCCTAAGTAAGACCCCAGTAGCACAGACAATAAGAGAATCAATGAATAAATGGGACCTACTGAAACTGAGAAGCTTCTGTAAAGCAAACGACACTGTCAGTAAGACAAAAAGGCTGCCTTCTGACTGGGAGAAGATCTTCACCAACCCCTTATCAGACAAAGGTCTGATCTCCAAAATATACAAAGAACTCAAGAAACTAGACACTAAAACTCTAATTAACCCAATTCAAAAATGGGGTACTGAACTGAACAGAGAATTCACAACAGATGAACTTCGAATGGCCAGAAGACACTTAAGGTCAAGCACAAACTCCTTCAGATGTTTCCTATCAAAGTGAGACATAAGAACATGTGACTGAGCCAAACTATGAAAGGATAGAAACAGTATCAAAAAACAAGGGGTAGAAAAGGAAATCTATTCTTTCTTGGTTTTAGTTTTGGTTTTTATTAAGAGAAAAAACCCACCAGGTTTAAATTTAAAATGTCTGAGGAAAGCTCAATAAAGTCCTTGAAAAGAGAAATGATTACATCTGCTTCATGATTTTATAATCCAGAATAACCTTTTATAAATATACAAAATTTGTAATATTCCAATTTAGGAAAAAATAAATATTTTAATGTGTTATATTGAATTTGTTCTTTGAAGCATTTGTTTTGAGCTGCAAGGCACATATTCTTGATAAAACATTTCACATACCTTTAAAATGGCAACCATCCTTTTAATACTCCAGGCTTCTGTTGAGTTCCAACTTGATTAAAATCCGCAGAAAATGGGCCAGTCGGGTAACTGAACTAGAAGAGAAGCACACACAGAACGTGAAAGTCCCTTCAATGTTTATGAATTATACATTCTCTTCTAGTAAAATTTGCCAGTGTGAGACAGGAAGTTCATAGGGACCCAGGAGACAATGTAATAACTCTTGAACACAGAATTTACTATTTTATAAGCATGTTATGGTGGTAGAATGGTCACAGCTTCTGATAGATTGCAACAAATGTAACTTTAGTAACAAATATTGAATCATTCTTTCATGTTTATCTTAATTCCAATTTTTTATACATGGAAATCATTTTATCTTTAGTCATTGAGTATCCCCAGCTTCCTACGGTGATATATATGACACTGATTTTACATTTCCAAAAGGCTGTTCAATCAATTAATTTATGAAAGTCTCTATAGTTGTAGCAAGCACAGGCTGGTACTTACAAATATAGTTCACTTCATTCTGAGATTAGAGCCATGAGTCTCCACACTCTGCTTTTCGGATATTAAAGGCATATTTGTTTATTTGTTTTCTTTTGTATGTGTTTGTTTTGATCATGCAGGGAATTGAGAAGGCAAACCCTCTAACACAGGTTTACGTCCCCAGGTTTACCTTCCAGACTTTTGACTTTAAGAATTGTGGGAGAACACACACCTCTTGGTTTAGGCCTCTCTTTTGTCTTAGTCATTGGTCACACACAAAAGAAATTATATATATTTAGCATATATTAAACAAAATATTTAATATACTGTTGATTGTGAATTTTTTGTGAATTTACATCTCTAGCTCTAATAGTAAATTCTCAGTTAATATGCAAATCATTATTAATTACCATAATAATAAAAAGATTTCCCCTGTTTTTAGAAGTTGAATTATTCTTTATTGACTACCAACACAATGAACATTTTTCTTCATAATCCATACTCAATTTGTTGATAAATATGAAAATAATTTATTGTGATTGTTATGATGATTAATAATATATTTTAATTTTATATATTAATTTATTAAAGTTTGTTTCACAAATAAAATCAAATAACTGTCTTTATCTTTTAGAGTAATAAAAGTGGAGAAAATATGGTCACCATAGAATTCATCAACTTCACAAAATACATTTTTTTTCTTAATGACTAATCAATAACATTTTCTACCAGCTGTCACATAATGAAATAATAAAAGTATAAGATAATCAATAAATAAATAAGAGAGGGTTTGAGTTCAATTCAATACTAAGATACAAATGTTTTCAGTAAAAATGTGACTGGGTAGAGCTGGGGAGAGTGCTTAGTAAGTAAAATAATTGCCTTATAACCAAAAATATATTATTTAATTCCTAGATCCATGTATAAAATCAGACATGGCAGTACATGCCTGCAATTTCAGTATTAGAGAATCAGAAATTGGTTAGTAAATGGAGTTCTCTGGCCTGACATCATTGACTACCTGGTGAGTTTCAGGCCTGTGGTTGTTTGTATGAGTACTGTCCTCCATAGGCTGGGTTATTTGAAAATGTGTCCTCAGGTAGAGCCACTGTTTGGGGAGACTTAGAAGGTGTAAATATGTTAATGGAAGTTTGTCACTCAGTTTGTCACTCACACAAAAACAAATGAACAAAAAACAAACAAAACAAATCAAAACTGCCCCAAGCATTAATCCAAGAATTCTGAGAAGAATAGTGGTGAGTGCAGACACACATGGCTGCCCAGAATGCAAAGAATAGCAGTTGACTGTGGGCTCAGTTCTAAACAAGTCATTTCCACTAATCGTTAAGCCATTGTTTCTGAGACTCAGAAAACATTGCCAAACAGTGAGCAGAAAGGTTATAAGGGCCAAGAGATAAGGCAAAGGGCTGTAAAATTCCATTCCCTAGTATCTGTTTAGCTCTTGTAATATCTAGTTCACAGCAACTACTGCTACCTATATCAGCCCCACAGAAGATGAGCCCCAATTCAATAGCCATTGCGCAGTTTGGGTCTCACTGGACCCTCTCTATGATAGCTGAACTTTCAGTTACTGATAGATTCAAGGATGTGGGAAGCATTACATTTAATTATGTACCTACCACAGAACCTACCAGACTCCAGTGAATAGTTCTAAATTCATAGCCACACGGTTGGCACTGGTTAAACTCAGTAGGTCATAGAGAAAAAAGAATAGACATAAAAATGAAAAGAAAAATGTGGAGACCATGTAGAATGGACAGGGTTCATAATAAATTGGGAGAAGATAGAAGGGGAGATGGTCTGTGTGCATTATAAGCATTGTGAAATAATCTTAATTTTAAAGCATTATTGCAGAGCATTTAAAAAATCTGTGAATAATGCAGAGACCTTATCACATTTTCAAATTGTCTTAAGGCAGAAAAAGAAATATAAAGTATAAGGAAAGAAAGAGACTCTGCACGAGTGTTAAGGCGCTCAGCACATTTGGAATTCAGTTAAAATTGGGAAGTAAAAGCAAACTACAATTACAAAGTGGTCACTGCATCATGAATGCTGAGATTAATATTTTAGAAAGACCATATGGTTATAATATATGCATGTTGGCAGAGGTTTCTGTCTTGCCCAGTTCATCAATAAGCACACAGAAACTATATTATTTGCAATACTATTTGGCAAAGAGCTTAAGTGTATTTCTAGCTAGCTCTTATATCCTAAACTAAACCATCTCCAATAATCTGTGCATCACCATGAGGTGGTGGCCTACCGGCAAAATTTTGGTGGGCTCCGGCGAAGGCATCTGTCTCCTGCAGGCGGCTGTATGGCTTCTACCTGATTCTGCTTACTCTCTCAATATATCTCTTTCAGCTTGGCTGTTAAGTCATTGCCCGAAGGCAGCTTCTTTATCAACCAATGGCAATAAAGCATGTTCACAGTATATATCACCTCCCACATCATATGCATATATGTATAACTTATATTTAATATAATGAGATATCTGGCAAGGAGGGATAATTAGGTTAAAATAATCATAATTATTTTATGATTAATATTATCATAATATTAATAATCTAAATAAAAATAGATTTATTTTACTACAGGTGTAAAGAGGTATATATAACTTAGTTTGAATTATTTATTACATTATATGTAGTTATTCCATATACTATTTTGTTGTCTGCTACTTAGATGACTTGAGCTTCATCAGATTCTTCTGGTAATAAGCAATCAATCTCACGTGCTTTTCTTCTTCCTTCATATTTTTCCAGAGAAAATTATTTGTAAATGGTAGTACTTTATCTTGGCAGGTGACTAATGTGAGAAATGGGGTGGTATATTTCATCCCCCATATGAGGCATTGCTATGTTATTATCCCTAATATGTTTATGGTAATTTACACTTGAGAGGAAGAAAAATTCATATGGGATTTTTCATACATATTCTCTGTTTGAGTTTTGAATTTTAGCTATGTTTGATACCTATTGATCAATTAAATGAGGAAAGAAAATATTCCCTATGGAGATTAATATTTTATCACATTGTTATTGAATGAGATTTATCTTATAAATATATTAGTTGCATTTTTAACCACAGGCATTTATTACTTCTCATTCTTTCATCTAAGATCATATAAACATATCCATTTTGTCTTATAGTAAGTCTAATGTTGAGTATATAAAAACTAATGTTTAATTTTAATGTAATGACTAAAAAATAAATAAGAGAACCATATTTTCAGAATATAGTTTTTGTTAGGATTAAATAAAATCTATAGACTAGATATGTAATGTATACCTTCAATCAACCACCAGACAAATTAAGAATGCTGATGTTCTATACAACAGTAAACTGATAGAAATCTTCATGAGTAAATACAAACATTAAATATTAGAATGATAAGCTCTGAGATGTAGACTCTCTCTTCCAATATCAGTATTGATTACCTAAGTAAACTTAAAAATTTATAATAAATATCTTCAGTTGTGTGAACAATATAGTTTGTCATCATGACTCCGTTGTCATTATATTGTGAGAAAGATTCAATTTGCTAATACACAAATGTCTAGTTGTGTCTACAGTCCAGGGAAACTTTATCTATATAAAGAAATACATTTAAGTCAGAGGATGTATATCAGTAAAATAGATGCTTGGCTTGCATATACAGAACTATGGTTCAATCCTCAACACCAGGTGAACTAATATATAATCTTAGCATTTAGGAGACAGACACAAGGGATAAATAAATAAATAAATAGATAAATAAATAAAATTAAAAAATGGTATTTCCAGCCTAATTTGAAGGGTACATGTATTATTGAACTCTAAGCAAGGGAGCTTGACAAAACCACAGTGGATTTTTTTTCCAGTAGTAGAGTTATTTCTATGATGCCTAAGCACATCACAGAACTATACACACTGACAAGAAGTTATCGAGGAATTAATGTTGGAAGAGCAACATTTTCTATTAGTTATAAGGAACACTTATGCTGATATTTACTCAAGTCCCTTATTGTTCTATTAACTTTAACTTCCAGTTGATCATATCCTACAGCCACCCTAGAAACTCTGCATATAGGTAAGAGTTGTGGAGCTTGGTTCTCTTGTGGGATTCCTAGCAGTGGGATCAGAGACTGGCTCAGACGCTATTACTGGCTTTTGTAACCCTGCTCCTCCTACAGGGTCACCTTGCCCTGCCCAGTACTTGGGGAAGTCCTTCGCCTTAGTGAAACTTGATAGGCCTTGTTTTGTTGATATCCATGGAAGACTTTCCTTTTCCTGAGCACAAAGAGCTGATGACTCAAGTGGGGGATGGAAAAGATGGTGTTGCAGGGGAGGGACTGGGAGGAAAGGAGGGAGGAAAGACCATGACTTGGCTGAAAACAATTAAATACACTTTTAAAAAGTGTATGTGTGTGAGCTCTCAATTGAGGGATTGCCCAGATAAGATGGCATTTCTGTGAGAAATTGTCTTGACTCAGCCCAAAATGGTTGGTACCGTCACTCAACTGGTGATTCTGGGTTTTATAAAAAGGTAAATTAACCATGTGAGTAGATTAAGCATGAGCCAATAAGCAATATTCTTCCGTAT